TCTGTGCATATGCACAGTTGTAAATAAAATTTATAAGTTATATATGTGTGTGTGTGTGTGTGTGTAATATTTAAAATCATGAGTTAGAGAATGAACCTATCACATTTTATAAATTTTATCATTAGCAATATCAATGATATAGATATAAACTGTTTAACTTACATATGTATTTTTATATTGACTGCAATAATGTAATTTTTACAATCTTGGTTGATTATGATCAATTAGTTAGATAAAACAATATTGAAATTATCATTATAGCAATTGTGTATGAAATTTTAAGGAGTAAAAAATAAATGATTTAGGTTAACTTATTAGTGATAGGAATTTGTATCTTAAATTTGTATTGATGTTATGACTTAATTTAATAAATTAGCTTAAAAATGCAACCAAAACAATTGATGAAATTATGTTGCAAATTGATTAAGTATGCTTTCATTGATTAGGACCGGTATAAATTCTTTAAAAAGTATAGAAAAAATATAGTATGCTATCATTTGTACGATCGATATAATTTTTTTTTTTTAAAAGAATATAGTATGCTGCCATTGATTAAGAAAGTTACAATTTTTTTATAAAGTAAACATAAAAAAAATATAAGGTTTTAACGTAAAAAGACGGGAAACGAAAATGATCTTATTAATTATGTGTTAGCAATTATATATAGATTATAGGGTAAATAATTTTTTGCAGCCTGTACTATACGCGTTTTTGGCGTTTGCAACCTAAAGTTGTTTGTTTTTCTCGATTTGCAACCTTTAATACACGTTTTGCCTATGTCGCAACATCCGATCATCGAAGGCCCATGTTCCACCGGAAAAGCGAGTGTGAGACTCGCGTGCTCGAAACTTGAGGGTAAAATCGTCTGTTTGTCTTATGTTTGAAAGACAAATTGGTCATTTCAACTATTTGAAGGACAAGTTGATGTCTTCTAATAACAACTTACATGAAATACATTAGTAACCTATTAATATGCAAAACAACTATTTTATAATTCGTGAAATACACATATAAATCATGGTAAACTATTATACATCATGAAAATAAAATATAAGATAAAATTTAATATTAATATTTAAAATTATTTTTATGTTAATCGATATTCCGTTATTGCTTTAATTAATATGGTTTATCATTATTGTCTTGTGCATTGCACGAGTTGCGTACTAATCTTACTATAGAAAAGTGATATGATTTGTTCTCATTTATTAAATTATGTATTATTTTATAATAATTAAAAGTTAGTAATTTTTTATTTGTACAAATTCTATATTATTTAATAATATTTAAAAGTTAACACTATTTTATTTGTACGATCGATGTCTTCTAATAATAACACCTTACAAAAATATAAGGGATCAATGGAAAAAAAATTGAAGAATGTCAAACTTATTTGACCTTTAACATGAAAATGTAGATCCACTGTGATTCGGTTATATAGGATAGAGTTTCAACTTATTTGAAGAGGCAGTTTAAAATACACTAGTATTCGATTATGTGCATATGCATAGTTGTAAATATAATTATATAAGTTATATATATATATATGTGTGTGTGTGTGTGTGTGTGTGTGTAATATTTAAAATCATAAGTTATAGAATGAACCTATCACATTTTAAAAAAATTTTATAAGTATGTAACTTCCACATACTATTTAATATAAAATTATAATCAATGAGTGTTAGTAGTAATATTATATAATAAATTAGTTTAAAATTATTATTACACTTTATTAATGTAAAATGTAACATTTCTACATTAATTGAAATAATGAGCGGGATTATTATGAAGGTTTTATTAATTCAGTTTTATTTATTGCTATGCCAGCAATTATATATATTAATAGCTTATGTGAAATACTAAAGTAACCTATTATTATGCAAAACAACTATTCTATAATTCATGAAATACACATATATATCCTAGTAAACTATTATACATCATGAAAATAAAATATAAGATAAAAGTTAATATTAATATTTAAAATTATTTTTATGTTTATCGATATTCCGTCATTGCTTTAATTAATATGGCGTATCATTATTGTCTTGTGCATTGCATGAGTAGCATACTAGTCTTAGTATAGAAACGTGATATGATTTGTTCTCATTTATTAAATTATGTATTATTTTATAATATTTAAAAGTTAATACTTTTTTCTTTGTACAAATTCTGTATTATTTTTATAATATTTAAAAGTTAATACTTTTTTATTTGTACACTCGATGTCCTCTAATAATAACACCTAAAAGAATATAGGGGATCAATGGAAAAAAAATGAAAAATGTCTAACTTATTTGACTTTAACATGAAAATGTAGACCCACTCGGATTCGATTATAGGATTGAGTATCAACTTATTGACTTCTAATGAGACAGCTTAAAAAGAACTAGTATTCGATTTTGTGCATATGTGCAATTGCAAATAAAATTTTATAAATTATATATGTTGGTATGTAATATTTAAAATCATAAGTTAGAGAATGCAAAACAACTATTTTATAAAATGTAAAATACACATATAAATCATGGTAAACTATTATACATCATAAAGATAAAATAAAAGATAAAAGTTAATTTTAATATTCAAAATTATTTTTATGTTAATCGATATTTCGTCATTGCTTTAATTAGTACGGTTTATCATTATTGTTTTGTGCATTGCACGAGTTGCGTACTAGTCTTACTATAGAAAAGTGATATGATTTGTTCTCACTATTAAATTCATTATTATTTTATAATATTTAAAAGTTAGTACTTTTTATGTGTACAAATTATGTATTATTTTATAATATTTAAAAGTTAACACTTTTTTATTTATACAATCGTTGTATTCTAATAATGACACCTTACAAATATATAGGGGATAAGTGGAAAAAAATGAAGAATGTCAATCTTATTCGACTTTTAAAATGAAAATGTAGATCCACTGTGATTCGGTTATAGGATAGAGTATCAACTTATTTGAAGAGGCAGTTTAAAATGCACTAATATTCCATTATGTGCATATGCACAGTTGTAAATAAAATTTATAAGTTATATATGTGTGTGTATGTAATATTTAAAATCATAAGTTAGAGAATGAACCTATCACATTTTATAAATTTTATCATTAGCAAAAATCAATGATATAGAAATTACATATGTATTTTTATATTGACTGCAATAATGTAATTTTTACAATCTTGGTTGATTATGATCAATTAGTTAGATAAAACAATATTGAAATTATCATTATAGCAATTGTGTATGAAATTTTAAGGAGTAAAAAATAAATGGTTTAGGTTAACTTATTAGTGATAGGAATTTGTATCTTAAATTTGTATTGATGTTATGACTTAATTTAATAAATTAGCTTAAAATTGCAACCAAAACAATTGATAAAATTATGTTGCAAATTGATTAAGTATGCTTTCATTGATTAGGACCGGTATAAATTCTTTAAAAAGTATAGAAAAAATATAGTATGCTATCATTTTTACGATCGATATAAATTTTTTTTTAAAAAAGGAATATAGTATGCTGCCATTGATTAAGAAAGTTACAATTTTTTTATCAAGTAAACATAAAAAAACAAAAAAATATAAGGTTGTAACGTAAAAAGACAGGAAACGAAAATAATTTTATTAATTCTGTGTTAGCAATTATATATAGATTATAGGGTAAATAATTTTTTGCAACCTGTACTATACGCGTTTTTGGCGTTTGCAACCTAAAGTTTTTTTTTTCTCGATTTGCAACCTTTAATACACGTTTTGTCTATATCGCAACATCCAATCATCGAAGGCCCATTTTCCACTGGAAAAGCGAGTGTGCGACTCGCATGCTCGAAACATGAGGGTAAAATCGTCTGTTTGTCTTATGTTTGAAGGACAAATTAGTCATTTCAACTATTTGAAGGACAAATCGATGTCTTCTAATAACAGCTTACATGAAATACATTAGTAACCTATTAATAGTAGGTCCAGATGCTAGGGTGTTACCAAGCCGCAAAATATGCAAAACAACTATTTTATAATTCGTGAAACAAAATGGGCCTGACACATACTTCTTGTGGGTTGTGTACCTGGGCTCGTCCCATTGCATGACTCTTATTCATTTTCCATCCGTTTCTCGCCATTTTCTCCTTCGATAATTAATTCGACCCTATTTCCTGTCAAAACTCAAAATATATCACCTCATCATAGCTTAATAAAAAATAATTAATTAAAACTACAATGAAACGGACACAAAAGTCACTATAAAATGCACGTAAATATGACGCATGTCAAATCCCCCACACTTAACCATTGTTCGTCCCCGAATACAAATAAGCAAAAACAAACAACGTGCATAAGAGCACCCACAATGCATTATGTCTCTTAATAAAATATTATATGACACATAGGAAATAGACTTAGTCTCTTAAAAAATCCCTCCCAATGCAATTAAAAGTAGACATGGTCTAGTTTATGTAGCAATAAAAAAAAAACACCAAGTCCACACTTGGATCTATTTTGGACCCAAGTACAAACCCAAACACTCATCATTTATTCTTAACTTAAATTTTCTTTTATTAAAAAAAACATATTAGAGCATATTTATTGGTTGACATGTATGCTAGACCTAGTATTTTATTTTTGTATTGAATAGCTTTTGAGTTTTTTTACTTGAATTTGTTCATGTCATTTGGAACTTAAGTCTATTTATATGCCACATATGTAAAATTAGACTCAATGCATTGTGAGTGCTCTAAAAGAGTGATTCCAAACAAGAAAAGTCTCAAGCCACTTAAGGCCCATGTATGCTAAGGACCAAGGACCGTGTGATCAAGCCAAAACTTGGGCTCTTATTAAAGCGGACCGAGAGGATGGTAAGGCCCATGTTCTCTTTATAAAAGAGTTTAGAAACTTAGAGGAATAAAAAGATTAGAGGAATAAGAAGATTAGAAGCAAGCCTCAATGTATTCTCCAACCGTTCATGTAAGAGTGAGGTTTTTACAAATCTTTTATTGTACACTTACTATTGATGCACTTGATTTGGCAATGTAGGCTTCTTTCCAAAAGCGTGCTTTCTGCATCTCTCAAAAATACTATCGTAAATCAGATCAAACTGAACGCAGGCTCTTTCCCGGTTGATGATGAACAGAATATGGTCTCCCTCAACAATCTTGTAATACCTGCATTTCGAATAACACGTTATATGGAGTTCACATGTTTTATTCTAGAGGAGAAATAAAAATAGATCAATGGAAAACGAACCATATGCCAGGCTTTAAAGGTTGGCATTCCGAATCCTTGATGACAAAATGGCTCGGGTGCTCGACTGGAAAACGAGGGTGTGTCATCGATATTGTATTGAGTGCTCCATCATTATCCCACCAATCTTCATCCCTGTAGAAAATAAATAAATAAGTAAAGCTACCATTTATTTATTTATTTTTCATATATTTATTATTATTTTTCTTTTTAGTCGAAATTATACTCACCGGTAACCTTTATACGGAGGGTCAACATCTGGAGGGTACCTCCACTGGCTCATCTGCAAAACCCGAACAAACAACAAAAAGCGTATGCCGAGCAAGCCTGAGGGAATCGTAACACCCATAACTTTCCTCGTTCGTTTAGTGGCATAGCTAAAATAGTAAGTATCTGAAAATGTCTGTATGTGAGCGTTTAGCCGAATGGACCCTTGGATCGTAAGGTCTGGAAGGATCCAATCGCCAGATGCAAATGGGCCGGTTTTGCCTAAAAGGCAATTCACGAGGCCCCAAATGCCGGTTTTCCTTCGTGACAAGTTGAAATGGTCGAACCCGAAATTGTAGTAATTTTTCAGCCACTGAATGTCGAACCAATCGTAAAGGATAACTCCAATGCGGCACAATTGGAGAAGACTCACGGGCTTTATTGATTTTCCGTTTTCGGGCCTAGCAAGAACAAAATTATTGATCGAGCTAATTAACATTTTATGATTGTTCAAAGTGTTGATTTGAGGCAGTATCAATCAAAAATTACAAAAAAATAATAAAAAAAAATATCCATTGATCAACCAACATTCTCAAGATTTTCTTTCAAAATGTGGTGAACACTTGAAAAACTCTAATCAAGAAAAGCACTACAATATTTTGATTTAAGGTTGTGTTTGGTAAGCATATAAGCTAGCTTATATCTTATTTGACTAGCTTAAGCTTATCTCATAAGCTTCGTTGGATAGCTTTTCAAATTTTTATTTCAGCTAGCTTATAGCTAATTTTACCAAACACTTTTATCATGTAAGCTAGTTTTACAATTATAAGTCATAAGCTATCAGCTATAAGCTCGGAATTCACTTAAAAGCTATAAGCTAGATTATCAACTAGGTTTACTAGACGTAGCCTTACTTAAAATTAATATGAAATAAAGCTTGAAACTATATGAAAAAGGAACGTACTGCATGCCATCCAAATAGGTTCTTGTGGTGTCGTTGAATGCACCGGATAATGAGGTTAAGCTCAAGACCCAGTTAGGCGAGGTGTTTTCGTATCCATCGAAAGCCTATTAAAAGTTAATATTAAAAGAAATTAAGTTTTTATTTTACAAACTTGAAGTTAGTCTTAGTTTTTATAAGATTTTTTTACCTTACCAGCAAGCATTTGCTGCAAGACCCGAACCACTTGTGCACCGGCCGAATGACCCACAAAATGAATCGGGTGATCTTCATCCCATTCGGGATAATACCCTTGAAATGGAAATTATCCATTTTCATCATTCAGTTCAGATAGTAATAAATTTGACCCACAAATTCAGAAAAAAATTTGCAAACCTTTTTCATAAATTCCGCCAAACTGTGAGTGCCCACAAGCCTTGCTGTGTTCTTCACCATAATCAACTTAATTTACCAAACTGTGAGTGCCCACAAGCCTTGCTGTCCTCCTTTTAGATAGTAGAACAATTCTCTTGCCCTTAAAACCGAAAAATCGCCGTTACAATTAACCAAAAAATAAAAAAATAAAAAACACATACACAACACACACAGAGAGAAAGAGCAAAAGTAATCAACACAAGAACCCTAACATCCTTCTTCTCTGCTCCTCCAAAATAAGATAGACTTCCTAATCTCTGTAAGAAAAACAGGTCACCATAAAATAAGATTCTTCAAAAAAAAAAAAATGTATTATGTATATTCAGTCTTGCAATTTAACTGTTCGACGAAATGCCTGAAAAACACTTTCAACAAATAGAAGCAATGGTTTTTCTCATATACCCCTTTACCAAATCCAAAAGTCCAATCGGCCAGCGCCTGCAAGAGATCTCTGGCTAAAGCCGTGCTGAAAATGTAAAACCCGTAGCTCAAATGCACTATGGAGCTAACGAAAAGCTCTGCAATTTGGAGGGACGATATCCACCACCTCACCATTTTTTTCTGGTAAATTTGTTTGGGTTTTTTTTTTTTTTTTTNCTCCTTTTTGTCTTGTGCTATCTACTTAATCATCTCAAAATTAATGATGAAAAAAAGAATCGAGTATGTCTACAGAAAACAAGGTTTTGCAAGAATGGTTTTTGATTTGAGCCTGCCTTTGAGTCTCAAAAGAAGACTCTTTTGCTCATCCAACGGATAAAAATCCAATGTTTACGAGTGTGAAGTGTTAAAAGAAGCTTCTTTTTGTTTTGAGAATGAAAATGAACAAGAAATGAGCTTTAACTGTAAAAAATACAATAAGCCCTTTATGTAATGGGGAAAAAGTATGGANCAAAATAATTAACTAAAACAAAAAAAAAAAAGAAAAAAAAAAGCAATTTAAGGTCATATATAATCCCTGGCGAAGATTGGTGCCACGTGCCATGGAGCTACATAAATTTTCCCGTCCTTATGGGTCCCACTGATGGAATGTGAAAAAGAAGAAAAGATTATGTGGCACTTGTCTTCTAGATAGTGGGGGGATTTGAGGAGAGGATAAAAGAGGATGAATCTGGACACGGCGACGTTTCAGGGGAAGAGATGGGATTAAACAATAACATTGCAAAGATGATGATGCATGTAAAATTTTGTTTTATGATTGTTTTTCTTTTATTTTATATAAGAAAATTTTACTTTTTTTTATACAAAAAAGTAAAATCAACGAAGAGTTGTATTAACTATTTGAATATAAAACTACATACTTCTGGCTTTTGAGTATTTTGTATTTCTAGCATATAAGTATATTGCTAAGATTTTTAAATATTGATATTTAATTAACTTTTCAGTCACCAATCGTAATCTATCAACGATCACCTTGAAATTAATTTATAAACTACCAATTATCTTATCAGCTATCAGCTAGTTTTTCAGTTAGATATACAAAACATATTCGGGAGAATACTTTTGATGATATTATAACTTGGCTAGATATGTTAAGCAAAACAAACTACGAGCGAGCTCTGCTCGACCAACTATGAATATTTGACAATATATATTTTTATATAATTTTTCATTGTTGAGCTCGAACTCATTTACCTGCTTGATTAATTAACAAATTAAGTCCAGTTCGGTTCGTGCCCGTGTTCAGAATTCAAGAGCTCGAACTCGACTCTGCTCGTTTACACCTCTAAATTGAGTTCGTTCTAAAGAGACGGGGAAAAAATTAAAAAAAATATTATTTTGTTTTTATTGAAGAAAATAGACGAGATACGGACTCTGGATCAAAGCTGGAAAGTTCTTTTGTGTTCCAAGTTCAGACTCCATACTTACATGTCCAAATGCAATAGGTTCTAGTGACAAACGGGGATTGATGGGTGCGGTTCCACGGACGAAACTCACAAAATCAGGGAAGCCCAAGTGAGGTTCCATCTCAAAACCAATCGGTGGTAGAAGGAGTAACTCACTAGGCTTATAAATTAGGTCTATTTTCCTTGTACAGACGATGTATGATAACTCACAAGTGTATATTATAACATCTATGAGGATGAGTGGATGTTAATCCTCCACTTATCCGATTTCAACTCTTGACTATTGTGTACTGTGATTTATGGGTACTGCTGAATTTTGGACATCACAGACGAAAAAAAAAAAGAAAAAGAAAACAAAAACACCATTTATTAAAAATTTAATAAGAACTTCAAGCAAGTAGTGACCAAATATAAAAAGAACCCCCACAATATATGTTATTTCTCTTCAAGGACAATTGACATTTCTACCAGGCCCTCCAAAAAACATGTAACTACCCCAAGTTTCACTGGGCGACCCAATTCTTGCCCAATAGCAATTCGGTTTCTCAGGAGAGATATATTGAAGTTGTGGTGCTGGGGCTATTTCATAATTTTCATCAAGCACTTCTATGTTTCGTATATAAGCTGCTTCGCCATAGCCTTCGTTTGGAAAATGGCCACTCCCCATTTGTGTTTTTGTGTGGGCCCTCGAACTTCTGCTATCTACAATTTCACCCCCAAAGTCCAGTTCGGTTGCATGATCTTTGAGTTGATTTTTAAATATTTCTTTTGGCCAATAACCAACTTCAACCTCATTATATTTTAGCCACCAATGCCCATCTATAGGACTCTGAAAAGAAATTAAAATAATAATTATCAATAATAATATTATAAAAAAAGGCTAAATTGTATTTTTAATCCTGCTAGTTTAAAACCATAGCAATTTTAGTTCAAAGATTCTAACATTTCATCTTTAATTTGGTCCTGTCATTTAATATTTTACTACAATTTTAGTCATTTGAGAACTGAAATTGCAAGAAATATCCAATTTATATCTTTGGGATGGATTTTTTATTAGTAATTTACGTTCTGTAATTTAAAATTTTATTATAATTTCAGTCATGTAACTTGAAATTGCAGTAAATATAAAATCACAAGACCAAAAGACAAAAAGTTAGAATATTGGAATTAAAATTGTTATGCTGTTAAACTAACATGACTAAAATACATTTTTCCCTAGAAAAAAATTGAATAAGCGTTATTCTTGTAACTATATAAAAAGGATCTATATGAACCTGTAGTTACTAGCTATATTGTTTGTCAATAACTTTCTTAAATCATTTATAGTATGTTAAATTATATATTTACATTGTTGTAATTTTATATAGATTTTTTTTTTCTACTTAAAATATGATGTGATATAGATTTAGAGTTTTGATATACTTACCTTTTCAATAGATAAAATAATGTTATATTGTGGGCCATTATAAGTTGAATAATGCCGAATTGCAGCTCCAGGTACGATGTTTGAGCTGGTTTGAACAAAGCCTGAGCAAGCCAAATTATAACAACCTGTTCCCTGATAAGCATCAGCCTGCAAAAATACATATAATTAATTAATTAATTAAATGAATAAGTCCGTTCATCTAACTAGGATTATTTTCCAGTAAAGTGCAATAATAATAAAAAAAAAAAAGAAATATTTATACTCACAGTCCAATAGATGAAGAATTTAGGATACTTGTCACCATAAAGAACCTGTTGAAAATTATCTAGATGAGTTAGATAGTGCAAACTTGAAACCTTTTCTTTTTTTTTTAAGATTAATTTTGTGGTAATATCACTAAATGACCATGTACGTTTCAAAAAGTAAAGAAAATGGTTGTTTTTGTGGAAGTATTAAATAATAGTCATTTTGTCATGTAAAATGACACAATTACTGTAGCGCCCCGTTCGTTTATTAGAATTTTCTAAATATTATATTATTATTTATTGACATTTTATTTGATTTTTTCTTTTGTTTTATATTAATTGCTCGACCTATCTCGATTAGACTTATTATATTTAATTGGATTGGATGTTATCGTCTAATCAATTTAATTAGTCGCACCATTTATGTTCATCGTCAATCGGTTATTAAATCAATATCCTTCGATTTTCTCGAATCATATCCAAGTCGTGTTTCCGGGCAAGCCTTGAGTTTGATACTCGGCCTATTTTTGGATATTTAATTTTTCGGCCCTTATTGAAACTAATTCTAGGCATTTATGCTATTGCCTTTATGCTATTTTATTTAAGCCCAATTAACTTTTAAAACATTCCTTGCCCCAATCTGAAGTGAACTTTAAAGGCCCATCTCCTTTATACTAATTTTAGCCCAATTTGGCAAGATGATCTTGACCCATTTCCTGTATCTGCACGTTCAATATGTTTGAACTGTTCTTCAACGTTTCTCCCAAAAAATCGCTCACGATTCACCCTCTCTGGTCTCTATTATATCTCGGCCAAATCAATGAATTCATTTCACTTATCTTCATCGTTCGAATCAGCAGATGATATTGTCTCCCTTTTAGCTCGGTTTGTGCGAGAGTCCAAAAAAGAGAAGAACAAAAAAATCAGATCACGCAAGTCGGCCCAAATTCGAACCCCGCCGAACACTCGAGTCACCCCGTACGGCCGAGTAACAGCCTTTCTACCACCAACATCTGCCCGTTCTCTCAGGCCGCCGCCACCGAGAGCCGTTCGAGCCACCGCAAGTCTCAGCCACGCCCTCGATCCGCTGCAGCCCCTATCGTCGATGACCAACCACCCGTCCTCGCCGCCGTAGCCACGCAACAACCGACGTAAAGCAAACCGCCGGCGCCCGACGACCAACTTGTTGGGAAAAATACGCTGAATTTTCCATGAAGTCGGATCTTTAAAAGTGAAATAAAAAATAAAAATTGGACACACCAATTTGATAACGGAGTTCGGCCAATAATGTCTACGTCTCCGGACTGCTGCAGATATTTTATTAGGAGAAAAGAAATACACTCGTGTTTACAAAACACTCTCTAACTCACTCACAACTCACAACTCAAAAATACACACAAAAGCTAAATTTTTATTAGCTCGCTCTCTCTTTCTCTTCTCTTATGTTTTTCTTTTGTGTTTGGTATTTTGTTGTGTGTTTCGTTCATCAAAACCCATCTCTATTTATAGAGTGGGGAGTGCACAATTTTTTCAACATTTGTGCACTCAATAATGCGAACAAATTCAGCAGCCCTTTTGATCTTCCTTGGCTGCTATCAATTTTTCTTCTTTTGCTGATTGTCAAAAGGAATGGGCGCAGCCCTTTACTTTTGACTCAACAATCTCCCACTTGAGGACTGGTTTCAATCTGTCCTCACACCTCAATTACTGCAGTAGTCTTCTCTGGTCTGTTATTCTAGCAAGCCAACTGAAGTTGAGCACAACTTCAGTTTGTCAATAGTCACCACCTTCTTTAGCATATCTGTCGGGTTCTTGCTTCCTACAATCTTATTCAATGTCAACACTTCATCCTCAAGCAGAGATCTGATGAAATGACAACGTATATCAATGTGCTTTGTTCTGGAGTGAAACACTGAGTTCTTTGTCAGATGTATTGCACTCTGACTGTCACTGTGCAAGACACTCTCTTTTTGAGTGAAACTCAACTCTGCTAATAATCCTTGAAGCCATATCAATTCTTTACTGGCTTCTGTCACTGCTACATACTCAGCCTCTGTAGTGGATAGAACAACAATCTTCTGTATCCGCGACATCCAACTAACAGCTGTAGCCCCGACAGTGAAAACATAACCGGTGGTGCTTCTCCGGTGATCAACTTCACCTCCAAAGTCTGCATCTACGTAGCCCTGTAACTTTAGATCTCCTTATCTAAAGTACAGACATTTTTCTGTTGTGCCCCGTAGATATCTCAAAATCCATTTGACTGCTTCCCAATGAGCTTTTCCTGGTTTTGACATAAACCTGCTCACAACTCCCACTGCATGGCCAATGTCTGGCCCCGTACAGACCATCGCGTACATCAAACTTCCGATGGCTGAAGCATAAGGAATCTTAGCCATAAACTCTTCTTCTTCCTTTTGATTTGTTGTGTCTGCTTTCTTTGGTTGAACTTCTTCCTCTTGATTCTGTATGCAATACAGAAGAGGTCGATGGTTCACCCGACTCTCTCCGCCGGATCTCTTCACTGAGAACCAAGACATCATCAAATCTCAACTTATTGTTTCCCGATGAGCTACTCACAGCCGTGAACGTAGCATTCCAGCTTTCTGACAGGGAAGACAAAAGTATTAAAGCCCGTACTTCATCATCGAACTCGATCTCAACTGAACTCAACTGGGTTGTGACGGTGTTGAGCTGATTGAGATGATGTGCCACCGAAGCACCTTCGGTCATCCGAAGGTTGAACAATCGCCTCATCAAATGAACTTTATTTGAGGCTGATGGTTTCTCGTACATGTTGGAAAGAGCCTTCATGAGGCCTGTTGTCGTCTTTTCTTTTGCAATGTTAAAAGCAAAATTCCGAGATAACGTCAGCCGAATGGCTCCAAGAGCTTGTCTGTCAAGGAGACTCCATTCTTCCTCCTTCATGTCCTCCGGTTTCTTTCCTGTGAGTGATTGATACATATTCTTCGGGTATAGATAATCCTCGATCTACATCTTTCAGAAACCAAAGTCCGCACCGTCGAACTTTTCGATTTTCATTTTTCCTTCGTCTGCAGCCATCACTTCGACTCTGATCTGACTTCTCTGCCGTATCGTTTCTGCAATTTTTGTGAACTACTGTGTTTCAAAACACGTCGGTAGATAAATTTGTAGCACCGACAAATTTGGCACTATTCACGTTTTTCAACGGAATAGTAATACCACAAAAAAAATACAGAATTAACAATCTGGCTCTGATACCAGTTGTTGGGAAAAATACGTTGAATTTTCCATGAAGTCGAATCTTTAAAAGTGAAATAAAAAATAAAAATTGGACACACCAATTTGATAACGGAGTTCGGCCAATAATGCCTACGTCTCCGGACTACTGCAGATATTTTATTAGGAGAAAAGAAATACACTCGTGTTTACAAAACACTCTTTAACTCACTCACAACTCACAACTCAAAAATACACACAAAAACTAAATTTTTATTAGCTCGCTCTCTCTTTCTCTTCTCTTATCTTTTTCTTTTGTGTTTGGTATTTTGTTGTGTGTTTCATTCATCAAAACCCATCTCTATTTATAGAGTGGGGAGTGCACAATTTAATGTGAACAAAATCAACAGCCCTTTTGATCTTCCTTGGCTGCTATCAATTTTTCTTCTTTTGCTGATTGTCAAAAGGAATGGGCGCAGCCCTTTATTTTTTACTCAACACACCTGTCATCTCGCCGGCGATTGCCATTTCGTTCAGACGTCAGCCGCCCTTCACCTTTCCGCTGAACCCCGTCAATATTTCTTAGTCTCCAATTACAGCTCAGGTCCTCGCCGTTTCGAATCGCCGCTGCCGTTTTCGACGAATCGCCGTCGTCCTTCGGCTGTTGCTTTCGTCAATCAACTGCCGCGGACATCCACCCTCAGCCCCATCGCCACACCTGATGAAGAAATCCTAGAACAGCCCCGCGGTGGAGCACAGCGACGCATCGTCGGGTCACAATCCGTACGCTTGAAAACAGTCCCGAACCGCCGCCGCTGCACCTCGCCGGCGTCCCAGTAGCAGTGAACCGCCTGTCCCGAACAGCGTCGCCGCCTGTCAGCCGTTAAAACCTCGCGCGTGGTGCCGCCGCGTATAGGTGATTTCTGAAATTGAAATGTGATTTCTGAAATTAGGTAGCAGAATTTGAGGATGGGTGATCAAATTTTGATTTGGGAATTGAAGTACTGCAAATCGACGAGAAAGAAGGAAGAATAGATGAAGGAAACGACGGGCAGGAGAAAAGAAAGGAGAGAGGAGAAGGAAAAGAATGAGAAAAAGGGGAAGAAGAAAAAGGAAAAGGAAAAAGCTTGTTGGGCCAAATTTTGGGCTTAAGGATTTGCTAATGGGCGAAATTGAGTTTGTGGCAAGAATAATTATTTGGAAATGCTTCATTGAGCCGCCGAGGAGCCCTAGCCATCTATTTCATCCGACCTTTGTGTGTTTCATTGGGTGAACGGTATATTGACTTCAAACTCCTCTATTTATATGTGTTATATGTGATATGTTGATGTCCCATGCTTGATTTCATGTTTGGTGATCATGTGATTATGTAATTATGTCAAATTGTGTTCGTCTCTTCGGTTTATTGTCAAAACTGAAGGACGTGAGTTATTTTCGTGGAAACCCAGGAGTTTTGAATGCTTTAATGTGTCCTTGACATGTTAGAAAAAGCACATGTTAGAAAAAGCCTCAGGTCATTTCGATGTGTATTTCATGAGTTATGAATTTTTTTGAAAAATGATCGTGCTGCTGACTTTTATAAAAATCATGATAAATTGAATACTCGGCCAAATTACTTGAAATTTTATATGTTGACCCCGCTGATATTGAAGTAGGTTGTGTTAAATTTTCAGTTTCAATCTTCTCCTGTAGCTATGTGAGATGTTGAATTTGGGATCTGGTCAGAATCTTGAAAAATAGAGATAAAATCGAGTTTGATGAATTTTGATGTGAAAGTGGAATGTGTTAGTCTGATATTATGTTGGTTGTGTCAAAATTTCATGTAAAAAAAAAAAATTCAAAGGTTTGACTGGGGAACTAGGAATTTTCATGTTATAGTTGAATTTTTGTAAAAAATTATTTGGCTGGGTTAAAATGAGGTTTAAAGGCTGAAAATGGTGTATATGTGTATTTCTGGATGTTCTATAGTGTGATAAAGTTTCTTTAAAAATGGCCAAGTACTTTTTGAAAAGATTCGGTAGTTATCAATTCTAGTCTGTTTTTCCGGCAACACCCAACCGAGTCTTGTTTTGGACATTTTTCCGACTTGGTTAACTTTCTCTTTACTCATCACTATGTTTTGCATGCTTTATGTGTTCTAAATGATGTTTATATGGTTTATCGGGTCTAGACGGTTAGCCGTAAGTTCTAAACTCCATTAGGAATTTCCACGTACCACTTAGCTGATACGGTTTCGGCTAAGTGAATGTTTGTTTGTGTTCTAAGTGTCAGGATAGTTATTGATAGGGTGTCTGACGAGCCGAGCTCTCTACTTACACGTGAATTTTGTGCTATCTCCTGCTCTTGTCCAGGTGGGTTAGTTATTCAAAAATACTTGTGCATATGTGTGTTTAAATATGTTTAACCTGTTTGATCTATGTATACATGTGAGCATGTAGCCTATCGATGTGAGTTTGATGGTCATCGGTACGGTTGTCCCCGTATGATGACATACGGTTACCCGTACGAGGTAAATCTCATTAAGACATATGAGAAGGCCGTGTCATTGATGTGGCACGCACTCCCATATTTCATTGATATGGCATGACTGAGCTTTGATGAGCGTAGATGTGCACATGAGTGAGTCATTGACGAGACTAGAGTCATTGATGTGACTAGAGATGAGACATGATGTTTATTGTTTATGTTCATGCTGCGACCATACAATCCTAACATATTCTGATGTTGTTCATATGCATAGTGTGAGTACAGTATTTTCCAACTGTAATCACTCTCACCTGCTCTTCACAGATGCAGGTTAAGCAGTTGGCGGGTGACGAGACAAGACGAGTGGGTGGTCTACCTTATTTATTTATGATTATTAAATTGCTTCCGCATTTATGAACTTATGCTGGATTATTTGAACATGTTGAATTGGTTTGACTTTAAAAACGTGTTGGTTGGGTTTATGTAGAAAAACCTTTTAATTTGATATATTCATGAGTCTGTGAATAGGAATATCATAATGTTTATTATGTTGATGAAATTATGATTAATGAAAACCTTGAAAAATCGGGTAACCCCCATAGTCCAGACAGGACTTGAACTAAGTTTGAAAATGAATGAGTAACGCCAAAAATATTTATGATTCAAAAAAATGAATTTCGAAAAATTTTACTGTGATTTTTGGAAAAGGCCATGGATTTTCTCTAAAATCAAAATAGGGCGTTACAATTACCC